CCCCCCTCCTCCCCTCCTTCAATCACACTGATAGCACTGCGTCCAATTCCCTCCCCACTAAGTAGTGCTGCTGTGAAGCCGAATTGAAAAGGTGGAGTCGAGGCTGTGGACCTTGAAAGGGTGCAAAAGTAAAGGTGGGAGGAGGGGGTGAGGGGGTGAGGGGAGGGAGGGGGGAGTGAGGCCTTTTAGATAGAAAGCTACATGACTGACGCAGAGAAAAGAGGAAAAAAAAAAATTATATATATATAAAAGTAATGTAATTAATAATGTAATCCACTACAGAGAATGAATGTTTTCTGGTCAAAGTCCTGATCGTGCTGTGTGACATGAACCACTGGACCTAAAAGGAAACTTAAAAACACCACAAACACTTGTTTTTTTTTTGTACTTTAAATATTAGCGCTGTCCAATATTAGCATAATTATGTAATATCTGTGAGAATCGTTAACGATTTTCCCTGCGATAATCAACATCTGGTCACCCAGTGCCTGTGTATACTGTATGTTACTGATTTGCTGGAATCGCATGTTACTGCAGTTTTGGTAAAAAAAAAACAAAAAACGGCTACGTAGATCGATATCGGTTGATATCGGAACCGGAAATTTAGTGTTTGGACAATATCGGCAAAACGAACTTTGGCAATAAATTTGTATCAGACATTAAATATGTAACATTTTACAATGTTAACTAACATAATTAATTAATGAAAGGTCATTGAAGGCTAGTTCAAAATTTCTATCGTAAAAGTTAAAAAAGTTGTGTCAATCTGTAAAAAACATTTCAAGACATAATGCGCTAATCGTGACGCTGTTTCTTAGAACATCGTGTATTGATCTATTTTTCAGGTATTGATTATGATCATGTTTTAGGGTCGACCCCAGATGAAGGTCACCGTTCCTTTCATCTTATTGACTTTGAACTACTTTATCGTAAAACGGTTCCAGTAATTCAACTTAATAACGTTAATAATCGAAGCGTTTCTTTGCGTCACGACAAACGTCGGGGATGAGCGGACTTCACAGATAATTGGTTTTTGAAGCACCTTTTTTTTTCTTTTCTTTTTTTTGCTCCACTGACCAAGAGAGCAACAACTCAGCGTTTGAATAGAGAACGGAAGAAAAGACGGGACGTTGACATTTCACCCCTCACTCTAATTAGTCTGTGTTGTTGCTTTAACCCTCTGGTCGCCTGATTGAGTCGAGGTGGAGGGGGTTAATGAGGGCAGCCCTCCCCCC